CAGAGTTGTACAGACAGTACTGTATGTATGTATGCCTTCGTTACGCTGTTTAACGTTAGGATTGTACTTATCGTAGCAAGCAATAAGTCCCACCCACTTACTCAGGGACGTTTTAGGTCAATAGTACCAAATTCCCTGAGTGAGTGGGCATTTGACCATTGAGTGGGTGTGTCACCCACTCACTCGGGGAATTGGTCCATGCAGCTACATCGGAGATTACGTCGCATTGACAAACTCAAAATTGGCAACGAAAGTGTAAGAATCGTGTCAGTTTAGGAAATGTAAACACCTGTTTTCATTGAAAGTCAATCTGTCGAATTGAATACCGTTACGTATTGCGGGTTTTGCCCAGGCCAAAAACTGGTTTTCGCGATTTCCCGCAGCCCTCCGGGACTCGCTTCGTAAGATGTAGCGACACAGAGCTACGAGAGTGCAGATAATGGAACCGTCGACCTTTCTCTTACGAAGCGACTGCTTTCTGATCGAGCAGCGACATAGAAGGCACCAACGTTTGTTGTTGCCCTGTGAAGTCATTTCAGCATACAGAACCGCTAAGTACGACATAACACTGCGACGTCTGCAATGTTATTGCAAGGTTTTTACGATACAACTTCATATTGTGGTTTGCACTTGTTTTGGCGTCGGTTTTACGTGCCGAAAGGAGTGGTACTTCTGCTGTGACTGTGTTACTCCGGAGTTCAAGTTTACAGTAATAAATACCTGGTGTTTTAGCTCATTCACTGCATATTTTTACCGCGAGACAGAAAATCGGCCATTTTTGCCGTTTTGTCAACACCGAACGGCAAAATACAGGAGCCAATCATTGACTACTATTTGAAGTAATTTCACCAATCAATTGCAGGCATGAATATCTCGGTAGTTAGATGCTCTCAAAAGCACGGTTGGTTCGAGCAAATGCAGCGCAATTAAGATCGGATTGCCTCCTTTGACTACCCTACTGACTGTGCTGAGCGACACTGCTGGTGAGCAAGTTTTGTACCTTTCGAGGTCAACAAGTGGGTAAATTGACCCTCGATGAAGCTTGAAATCGCAGTTTTGTCCTCATCAACATGAACTCTAGTCAGTATCACTATGTACATTGGGATTACTTGAGTGTATTTGTCTATGTCGATGTCATCGTTATTCCATACTTCCATCGTGGAGTCATCATAACCGGACGGGCCTGTTATGCGGACTATTTGCCATTTTCGCCATTGGGGATGCAAAAAAGTACTGCTATTAATAGTACCGGTACGTAGGAAAATACAGGGGCGGCAAACGTCAAAATACAGTCTGATTATACCGTCGCACCATTGGGGATACCCTAGCAACTCTTTAAATAGTTCGTTTTATATACTACGTACAGTAGTATAAAAACAATAAGCGCACTGTTTAGACTCTATGCTTCGATCGTAGGTTCGAACCCCTTCGTACATTGTATTTTTTATTGAAATCTATCAATTCATATTGCTTGCCGCACCACACACCAACAGCAAACCTAATTGCTCAAACGTGGCAGCCCCCAACAAGTACGAATATTGTAGCAGCACAAAACTGTTCCTACTGGGACCCTATGACGTCTGTTAAGTACTATACTGTATACAGCTGTACGGTATAGATAAAGAATATCGTAGCCACAGATTAAGTTTGACTTTGGGTCACCAATTTGCTTCAACTAGTACATGGTGGTGTACATGTACCAAGTTTACTTGAGTAGACGGCTAGGGATCGTGCAATTGTCATACTAGTAGAGGTCAGGGTTCGATTCCCTGAACGGTTTAAGGTACCTGCAATTATGTCGATGATTTTGAGCTCGACGTAGTGAACACCCATACGCAACTACATCGGGGATTACGTCACATTGACAAACTCGAAGTCAAGTGCATATCTATCTGCACATCCAATGCATTAATATTCATACAGAATATACCCTCGTTAGCTCAGCAGTTGTGTGTAGTGCGAGATCGTGCTCATTAATTCCTACTAGAAGTATGAGGAATTCTTTTAGCGTTCAAAAGAACGGATGGATGAAGAGGCAGTTCAACAACCTTGATCGAGCCGATTGACGCCACGATTCTGCTGGTGTGCAGTGTAAGCGCCAATAGAAATGTCATAAGGGAGTGATAGTGACGCGGCTTGATGAAGTTGTTAAAAATTGCAGTAACGTTACAATTGTGTGTATTGGTGTTGTGTTTATTCTAAACAGGAGCGACATGGAGAATGAATCGGCACAACCAATTGTACACAAGAATCGGCATAAGAATTGTGTCAATCAGATTACCGGAAACCATCATTAACGTCGAATTAGTGTGCAGCTTCAGTTAGTGTGATACCAATCACCACAGCACACCTTTTTACATACAAAATTCAGTACAAAGAATCGATCGATAGATTTGGCGATTCTGCACATAAGTCCAAATTTTGGGTAAAAGGACAATACTACAATCTTTAACAACTTCATCAAGTTGTGTCACAATCACTCCCTTATGACATTCCTTATATTTCAGTTCGCGCTTGAAGAACAAACTCATAAGTAGAGGTCTAGCATTCCATACGTTGGAGACACATGGTAAAGGAGCATTTCGAACCCTGTATCACATGTCTCGAAATATAGGGAGTACAGGTACAGCGGAAGGTGATTTGATTGAGCTACTTGATGAATGGGGCGATCGCTTTTCATCACTCTCTAATTGCCTCGGCAGTAGGCACCCAAACCTTCCGATGGTTACAATTCGCTCCATCGTCTCAACCACCGTACTGATTAGCCTCTTGCTTTTCACTCGTCCAGCTGAAAGCACAAGCAACCCAGGCCCGTTCACGACCCAGGTTCCTTGCACCTCCACCAAGGCTCCTGCCATCACCACCAAGGCTCCTTGCACCACCACAAAGGCTCCTTGCACCACCACCAAGGCTCCTTGCACCACCACCAATCCTCCTACCACCACCACGAAGGCCCCTGCCACCACCACCAAATCTCCTGTCACCACCTCCAAACCTCCTGCCACCCAACCTCCTACCACCACCACCAAGGCGCCTGCCACCACCTCCAAGGCTCCTTGCACCACCACCAAAGCCCCTGCCACCA